CTTCACCCAGCAGGAAGACTGGCTAAGTTGCTGTTGAGAAAACAGGGAGTCATACACTGGAATTAATCCTAGCAATTTCATTGGACCTTTTATTTGTCTTTTTCTTGTTACATTAGCAATGCAATTATAATTTCAAGTTGAGGATTTAACTTGTGAACTCTTGGGAGAAAGGAAAGGATATACATTTTGCTAAGTCAGAAGCGAAAGTATTTGTATTTCTATTAAAATTGTTCTTAATATGCAGAACCTATCTCAACACTTCTATTTCGTAGGGGATAAACAACTGCAAAAATATACAGCATCCTATTTATTTACAATATATATATGTACATAAAAATGAAATTTCCTACAATACAACACAGCTGCATAGATTTATCTTCAGAAACACAGGCATGTGTACAATTTGTGAATTCTAGACCTTTCCAGCCCTGTACTTTTTATTAATTCATTATCTTTTTTTTTTTTTTCACAGTTTGTTACAGAAATCCTTACATTAGATACAAATAAAACATTCTTTGTCTAAGTTATAGGAAATAAGGACTTTCCTGATGCCAGAGGCTCTGGGGGATTGTTTAAGAAAGCACCCTGACACCAGGCAATAAAGCCATTTTGTGGAGCTGCTGATGGAGCTGAGTACATTCTGCTGTGCCTTCCTACAGGCACCAGAGTGGGACGGTAGGACTGGAGGTGGGACCCACCACATGGAAAGAGTTTTGTTTTGACCAAGATGCTCTTTAGCCTTAATGTAAGGTTCAAGCAAAGAAACGCATTCATTTAAAGATGAACTAGAGATACCATTAATTGTTACTCTTAATAGTCAATATCGGAGAGAGCTCTGGTGCTTATGCATCGTAAGGCAGATGTACAGACACAACCCATATATCATCCAACCTGCAGTTGCACGTGTGATCTATTGCAACTGGAGCACAAGCTGTGGGTTGGTATGTGGCTCAGGAAAGCAGCCCTTGGGAGCAGATGGGCATCTCCATCCCTGACCTCGCAGGGCGAGACCGACTGTTCTGCCCTGGGCCTGCACACAGGCTGGGCACCACTCTGTCCCTATCAGCCCTAGAAAAGGTCTGTGCTGGTGTGTGCATTTGGCGTTGGCCCTCTGACCGGGAGCAAGCACAGGAGGGTATGGGTTGGAAGGGACCTTAAAAATCATCTAGTTCCAACCCCTGGGCCATGAGCAGGGACACCTTCCACTAGATCAGGTTGCTCAAAGCCTCATCCAACCTGGCCTGGAACCTTGAAGCATCACCCAGAGAGGTCACTACTCCCAAGATACTGCTTCCAAATAATAATTTGCTGAGTTTTACTTGCTAGGCATGTTTGCCACTGGACAGAGAAGGGCAGGTGTGTTCTGCAACCGTAAGTGTGCTTTAAGCTCATGACTATTTTCTTTGCAATGTGCTGTGGCCTAGGAGAGGCAGCAAGGCCATCTTTTAAGTATAGGATTAACTCTTGCAATCTAATTAGGAGCCCCAGCTTCTAATTAGTCCTTCTTTGTCCCTCGCCACTCAGTTGTTGCTATTATGCAAACAAGAATTTTAAAATATTTTGTTGTAATTATTAGTAGCAATTTTGCATCCAGTCTATGACATTTGCAGTGCTCACAATAGTGATAAACTCTCTATGAAAGGAAAGCATGCTACCACCTACGAAGTAGATACGGTACTCTGGATCCTATTAATTTAACAACAGAGAAACTCCTACAGCATTTCACTGTGCTCTTAAAATACTAGCTAAAATGTGGGACTCGTACATCGTTGGCTACAAGTTCACTATTTCAAATGAACTGAATAACAGCAGTACATTTTACAGATAACCTCATACAAATATTGTCATCCATCACTGATGTTGACAGTTACAGCAGGGTCTATTGCATTCTGTTAAGAATGTATAAACCTGATGAGAAAACAAAAAGCACGTTATTTCACGTTCATTACCACAGACATCAATAAGCACATGATTCCTTTCCATAAATATCTATAAATATGATGCCAGTAAGTCAGTCTAAGCAAAATTCCCTCTTTTTTTTCAGACCCAGAAACAAAATCTGTTTAAAGACTCGATATTTTGGGTATCTATTTTTCAGTATCTAATATATGCTTTGATGGTCCAGTACCTTGGGTAATTTCACTTTATGCACACACCCAGCTCATTTTTCTCCCTATTTATTCAGTGAAACACCAGTATACAAATAAACTGGGAAAAATAAAGCAGAATAGCAGAGAGAGGGATGGTGATGGAGGAGATTTAGGAAAATGCAAGGAGCAATCAGTCACCCAACAGCCCTTCAAGTTGAAGGAAGCTGGGTGCCAAAACTCAATGGTTGGTATTTTAAACACGAGACTACAGACTACTTGAGGAGTAGGGTGGAAGGGTGATGTTGCAGTTGTGACCTTGCTGGAACCCTGTGCAGCAGATCAGACCTCTAGCTCCTACCTGGGTATTTGAAAGTGGCTCCCAGGATCTCCTCTCTCACAGGCCCCCAGTGCACAGAGCTGCACTGCTTATAAATCAGTAGCAGAAGAAGGATAAAGGGGGGAGGAAAGCAGGAGAGCCCTGGAGCATTTTGAGGATAACACTGTACAGTATTCTCAGATCTGAGTTAGATTTTTTGGGGTGAGATCCAGAGAGATTATAAGGCACCTCGAAACCTAGAATGAGATCCCAGCAAGCTGAGTCAGAGAACAGAGTGAGATGCTGAACTCCTTCTGCAGTTACCAGGCAGAGTTGGGTGCCTGTGAAAGGGGAGCCGCAAACTTACACCCCAAGCTGAGGAGATGCCTGGAACGAGCTGTGAGGAGATAGAAACTGAGCATGGGTTCTTCTCTCCAGAGTTTAACTAACACCTGGGCTTGTAGGCTGTGGCATGGACTTCTTCTCTGTGACCATGGCAGGGATCAGTCCCATAAAGAGATGGCACAGACAGAGCTGGTGACCTGCACCATTACAAGGAAGGGTTTGAGACCAGCCATTGGACAGCATGAGCTACCTCAGCCCAGGGGTTCCAGGTAGCTCGGTGGTTCATGTATTAAATGTTGGGCTGGGAGGTGCTTGGGAGGAAGGATGCTGCACTGGAGACCTTGCTGGGAGCCTGTGAGTGAAGGCCTGAGGGCCAGGAGGAGGACAGACTAAGGGAGACCTGCTCTGCAGTCTAGCAGGTCACTTTGCCTGGAGGGAGGAGGCTTCCAGTTTTGTTCTTGCTGCTGGGCTACTCTGAGGACTTGGGCAGCCTGCGGAGTCCACTCTGCCTTATTTCTGGATCACAGAGGAGTACTGGTAGAGCTGGGTACCTCACTGCCCAGGCTGAGGTACAGATCTAGAAGTCTAGGTTTAATAGGCTTAGTTTCTGCAGCATGAACACTGTGCATCTCAACGCCCAAACTCCAAGGAAGGCCCCAAATGAACCTCTCTGGATGTTACCCTCAGAAACCAACTTTCAAGGTCCTGAGAAGTGCTCTCTGGTCTCAACTATCAGTGACTTCCAGCCATGTAGAACAAGGCAATGGCAACTGAGGCGATTCCATAGCTCACAGAAATCCCAAGATCCTGAATTCACCGTCCCTAACCTTAAAAAGAGCAAGGTGCAGTGACAGGTTCCTCACAGCTGATGACAGTCCCCTTCCACAGTTACAATGGGAGTCAGCAATGAACCAGCTACTGGGAGCAAGAGGGTCACTGCATACTGACAGGTACAGCTCGAGCACACCGAGGGCATCACTCAGCCCTTGGGCGTGAAGCTGGGCTCCCTTTAGCCATCGCTTCTTTGAGTGGGAGCCGGGTTCATATTCTGAGACACTTTTTAGCTCACACGGTGAGTGACACAAAGTGAACATGACTATGTTGCTGGCAGTGCACTAATAGAAGATGTCTGCTCAGGATGGTTAACGATCACCTGCTTAGCATTTGAGTCTCTACAAGTAGTTCTCTACACCAGCTATATAAGGCATTAGGCAAATGCTTATTTTGTGGACAACAGATGCAAGTTACAGTGTTTTTCCTAGTAGTAACTGAAGGTCTTTAATTGTTATGGAGAACTGATGAGAAATATAAATGCAATTTTAAATATAAAAAGTGTTTCTGTTTGTTTAAAGAAATGTAACAGATTTCAATTAGCATTAGAAATCCAGTAGTTTGGCAGGGTGAGTCAAATCCTGCTCCCGCTGCTGTCAAAAACCTTGCTGACTTCAATGAGAGGAGGATAAGACACAAGAGAGGAGCCAGTCTCTACAAGGTATGTACAAATGAATCCTGGAATGGAAAAGGCATGAGGTATGATTAAATGCGTAGGTTTTGATAAAACTGGAGCTTGTTTTTTCAGGGTTTTTTGTGGTTTGTTTTGTTTTTTTCTGAGAGAAGTAGGGCATTAGTAAGCAGTTTAATGCTGAAGAAAATGCAGACTTCCCCTGGAAATCTCTGAACGTCTGTTGTTCTTCAGGCTCAAGTACTCATGGCTTGGGGTCAAGTCTAATTCTGGTCAGGCTCCAGCTGAAGTGTGCCAGGGGAAAAGCAACTGCTGGTGGTGGCTGTTCTCCTGCTCATTGCACCCCAACATAAAGACACACACACAAGTCTGTTCTCCAAAGCCACAAAAGGGCCAAGCGCTGGGGCTGGCTCCCTCACCACAGCAGCAGAGAGAAGCACCAGATTTAGGACCTACGCTTGTACAAAGCTTATTTACGCTCTCGTGGTGCCTTTTGTGCCCATATCCAGAATGCTACGCTTAACCCAGTGAGGCAAATGGTGCGCAAAACAGCAACAGAACAAACAAACAAACCAACAAACTGGACGCGTACGATCGGAGAGCAGAGGTTTGGCTAAAAGGCGGGGGGAAAGGGTGTGAACTGACATCACTGCAGTTGGGATTGATAACAACAGGCGCTGCTGCCCCAAAGGAGCAGAGCTTATGGTTGAAGGGCTAAGGATAATAACAGAACAATGCAATTCATGGGTGGAAGAAGGGAAACAAGTTAATTGTATGAATTCCTGTAAGCAACGCTCCATGTAGTCTCACAGACATTTAACACAGACGTTAGGCTCATACAATAACTCAGTATCAGGGGACAGAGTGATATGCCTGTTGGAAAAATGGGTCTGTTTTCTGCAAGAAAATACACCCATAACAGTATTTTCACTACTGGTTAATCATTATTTGGATTTGATTTGAGTAAACTCACAAAAGATGGAATAGATAACAGAGCGGATGGTTGCGATTTTGGTGTGTAGCGAACAGGGGTGTCTTCTTTTCAGAAGGAGGTGAACTTCAGTGGCCTTCAGCACTGCCTCCCGATTGTACCCAGTCATAGATGACTAAGGGAATGCTCACTAAGGAAAACATTATCCCCAGGGCCAAGAAAAGAGAAGCCTGGAACAAAAAGAAGAGAAAATTAATGAATAAAAAAAAAAGACAATTAATTCAAGTATGTTAACTTCTCCTCTTAAGCAGATTTACAGGGTGATGTATCAAAGTTATGAGCTAAAATGGGATAGCACTTCTAGTAAAGACAAGACCCATAGATAATTAAACAGATTAGCATCATTAATAATTACTCACTGAACACCAAAACCAATTTTTTTCTGCTTTCAATTCACTTCTTAAAACACCAATCATTCCTAAAGAGGATTAAATGAGTCTGTTTTTAGAACCAATTTGCTCTGCTCTTTTCAAAGTCTCGCAGAAAAAAGTATACTCTTCCCATCTTGATGTTTCCATCGAAGCTCAGCCCTTTTGTCCTGGGGTCTGTGGATGGAGCCACAAGTGAAACATGGGTTTCCTGCCTGTCTGCTCAGAGAAAGAAGGTCTGACCTTACAATGCTTCCAGTGCATGCCCCGTTAGACTGGAAATACACAGGATTGTTGTGTTTTTTCAGCTGTAGCTCTTTCTGGGGCTTATAGGAAATCTTTACAAGGCCCATTCCCATCTGATCATGCATGCCAAAGGGCTAACATTTTAGCTGGCTGCTTCTGGTGGAAGCACCCTAAATCTGAATTGTGTCCATTAAAGCAACGAGGAATACCACAAATGGAGTGCATTGCACACTTTCTGAATCAACATGCTGAAACAGAGAAACCTTACCGGTCTGAAAGGGCTGCGGAAGGGGGCTGGAAGGGCACCTGCACCATCCCGACATCTACAGCTGCCGCAAAGCTGCCGCTGGCCAGCCAGGGGAAGAGCCCCTCACCCCACAGAAAGGGCCCCCAATAACACAAGGTGCCCTGCGTGGTACGGCCCTTCCACTGAGAGACCCCCAGCGTAAGCAAGGGAGAGGGGCAAGCGCGGCTGCCAACTGACTGGAGCAAGGAGGGAAAGCAACCTAAAGAAGCTCACACATATGTTCAGATTAGGTACGCTTTGCATCTAGCACATTATAAGGAGTGACAAGAAGAAAGCATTGCACTGATGGGAAAGGAATGCATACCCAAATCCTCTGAGTCAACTTGGATCCATCCTGCTGTGTAATTTTTAAATACAATGATGAAGGAAGAATGAAAATCAGCATATTGGCAGAAGTGACCCCTGCAAAATTCAAATAAATGAGTTTTGTTAGCTGTCAGCAACAGCTAATTATTATGTTGCTGATTAGCAAGTCTTTTATTAGTAGTACAAAATCAGGATACTGTACCTACAACTCCGAAAATATCCTTCATGGTTGGGATAAAAATGACTAACAGGTTGATGATAATCAAAAGAACAACAGTAACCAAAACATGACGGCATAAGTCAAATTTTGTTTTTCTAGCCAGCTCAAATAATGATGAACGCACCTGTAGGAAGAGAGAGAGAGAGAGTTCTCTGTCAGGAATAGTAAATAAGCCAATTCAAAGCTTCCTATGTTTATTCTAACCTGTTCTTCATGCAACAAGCACTGCTTAGATCTGTCAGAAATGTTGGGGTCTCTGATGTTATGCCTTTGGAAATAAACCTTAAAATTAATTTGGTATTTCAAAACTGTTGGTATACATGCATCTGCAGTAGGATAGTCTTCCCTTTCTGCCACGCCTTTTGGGGTCCTTCTGCACTTAAAAATGAACTTCACCTCTGAGCCTGCTCCAGTGAAGTCTTGTGAAGTAAGAGAAGGCCCCTGTGGATCCAGTTTAAAACAGATTTAAGACCAAAAGTGATTAATTTATTTCCTGCAGGGAGAACTTCTCCAGAAGTTAGTGGAAGCCTGGTGTGGGAAAACACCGATCCAAGCTCAAGCTTTTTTTGTAGCTGCAACATCTCTGTCTCAGGAACTGCTGCACTGCAGTTTGAAGAAACATGCCATGCACAGCTGTTACCAACCTCCAAACTGTGTGGAACTTTTTACTTACAGTGAAAAACAACACTGGCACTGTAAGTATCACCGCAACGATCACAGCCAAGCGCACAGTCAGGATGAGGATGTCATCTTTGCTCTGGTACTTGTGAAGCAGATCTGACTGCACATCGTCTGTGGAAAAGACAATAAGATAAGTGTTCCAGCAAATGGGCAATCTGTTCACAAAAATCATTGCTTAACAACAGCCTTCTTGAACAACAAGTGATTTATCTGCAAACAAAAGAGTATGGCATGAAACATTCTTGAGTTAAAACAGCACTTTAAACCAAATCCTAATGATTCCATTATTCCAGATTAATCCTTTGGAGGCCTGATTTAGGAATGCATCCTAAGTCAAGACAGCACATGCCTAGGTCTAAGGTAATTTTCACTGTAGGAAAGACAACAGTGAGACATATATGAAAGCTTGCTTACATATATAAAAAAAATAAGTAGAGTAAAATAAGCTATTTCTAATTGGTTCAGTGGGCTTTTTTTTTTTTTTTTTTTTTTTTTTTTTAAGTTTCAAATGATATAAAAATAACCACATGCACTGCAACGGCTGAACTTAATATAAACTACAAGGTTTTGAGCTAAATTCCTCTAAACCGCAAATAAACTTCAGCAAAAAGCAGTGCTCCTGTTCTCAACCATGAACAAAGCCTATCTCGGGTCAGCTCTCAGCGGGACGCTCTGACATTTGCACTCAAATCCCTGGGCAGCTCCTCCAAGGGCTGCCCTGATGGTTTTTTCTTTTGAACCTGCCACCCCCCAGCAGTGCCTGCAGCTCGGCCCTGCACCAGCCAGCAGCCCCAGCAGCCAAGACAAATCGCGGGGAGTGCCTAATGAGGAGGTGCTGGTAATATTTTAATGCAACCTCCTGCAAAAATGTTTCCTTGAAGCTGTGATAAATAGTGCAGAGTGGGTCTGCGTGTGCTAACCAACAGGAAAACCAAGTTGCTGAGGGACCAATGTGTTTGCTCTTTAACTTTTAAATATCTAGGAGCAGTAACCTAAGGGGGTGGCTGTTAAACATGCCACAAAACATGCATGCTGCCCCTTTTTAGGCTCATGTTTTGTTTCTGCCTGCTAATCTTAGAAAGCTGGTAATAAAACATAACAGCTCTTAAACCAAAGTCCTTGAAGGGAACTTGGTGGCCACATCTAGTTAAAATCTTTGGCACTTGGTAAAACCTCATGTATTCCTGTAGGCAGAGAGATCTGTCCTGCAGTGAAATGCCTGCACTCCCCCCAGGACGCCCTTCTGGGGAGAGACCACAGGTCAACATCACCTATGCAGTGTTTGAATCCCCACCAGGAGAAAGAAAACGCTCTCCCACCTCCCTGCAGTTTAGGTGTGGGGTTTTCAAGCCGGGCACATGCACAGCTTCTACGACACAGAGCTTACTCTGCTCCTGCAAGCACAGACTGCAACTTCTGTACCGCTCACGGACTGCAGCCAGGTAGGAAGTGAAGGGCAAGGCTTACAGTTGAAGGTCTGTTTTCCTTTCAGCTAGATACACCACAGAGCCCAACCACAGTGTGACCTTTCAGGGGAAGAAAAACACCTCTTTTCTGTAATTCTGCAATGTAAATATAGTCATCACTGCAACACTTTTGAGAACACAGCAAACAGACAAGTACTATTGGAGTAAAGAAGCAATGGCCACAATAAAAATGCTGTTCTTACCCAAGTTAGGGTAGAGAAGAAGGTTAGAAAACTGTAAGTGAACGTATGAAAGATAAGGTCTTGTCAGTCTCAAGGTGAAGAAGGATCAAAGTGGAGGAATTGTGTATTCCCTCAGTGTCTTTTTTGTTGCCTCTCATGGCACTGACCCTCGCAGAAGCCCCAGTTGAGCCGCACAGCTTCTACCCGTGGGCTCTTGGCGCTGGGAGGCAGGGATGCCTGACGTGGGGAGAGGCACATGACACCCCAGGGATTCCTCCGCTGTTCCCCCTCGGAAGGGCCAGAAGGACGCAGCCCCTACCTCCTCCATGGACTCCAGACCCTCGTCCTTGAGGGGCGTGGGAGATTCCCAGAGAGGAGTGCCACGGATCTGCCTCCTCAGATCCCTGGTGCAATCACATCAGAATCTCCTCCCTGCCAAAGCGAAGGGGTCCATGCTGATTTACACCCACTTGCTCCCTGGGGCTGCTAATTTGATGCATTTCTATGAAACTGTGTTAGACGGGAGCAGTTGGATGAGAACAGCTGTTGCTGTTGTTACTTGCAGTGTATTTGCAGGGTTTTTTTGGGAAAATTAAAATAGATGACCTCAAGTTACTTCAACACATGCAGACTTAAGGCCTCATAATCAGAATGAGAGGCTGAGAAAACAAATATGAGATAGGTACACTTTTAGAAAAAAAAAAAGCCACATTTCATATTTACTTATTTTCTTTCTCTTGCAATATGTGTCTCACAAGGAATGGTGTCATGAATGAGGAGACTGTAACAAAAAGGTCACTTGGAATAGGATGGAGAAGACTGATGACCCTTTGGTGACTGTGAAGTAAAAGGCAAACATTAATTTTGTCATCTGTCTTGTAACCCCTTAATGATCCATGGAAAGTGACACTATTTTTCAACGTTCCCTTTATACTGGAACATGGAAGTAGCTTCCTGGGCAACATTCATATTTTATCCTACTTTACCTAATAATTGTGTCTTTAGGGCACACATGTTGTATCTTGTAGTAAAGCAACATAATTTTTTTGTTTGTTTCTCTAAGTGAATTGATGAAGAGACAGGGTGCAAGCATCAAACAGCGCAACAACCATCCTTTGGTGGCTGAGCTAGGACAACACTCAAAGCTTCCCCACCTTCACTGCCAGTTTATTTAACCAAGACCTGAAGGGGTCAGCTCTAGGGATACAGGAAAACATTTGGTCCTTCACCTCTATGATGAAAGTGTCAATAAGAAAATGAAAAACCTGTGATGGCTGATTTGATACTCTTTTCCAAGGACCTGCTCTAAAATCTGTCCCATTTAATGCAGATATGCACACTTCAGTCATTACCAATGCATACAACATTCAAGTGAGGATCTTGGAAGGAAAATCTTAGTGGGGCCCAGCTAATTCCCAATTCTGTTAAACAACTCTCTCCCTCCTATTTTGAATATGCCTTTTGCAAGTACTACTTTCACTTGTGCTTTTCTTCCACAGGGGAAAAGGAGGAAAAGATTTGTACCTTCAGTATGAAAACTTTAAGGAAAATTATTTGAAAATGTATTTTAATATAGGTGGATCAGACTTTTCTTTCTAGCTGGGATAAGGTAGTAATTTCACATGTATTCCCTTTCTACTTTGATTAGTAAAGAACTGCATACTTACCATAGAAAGTCAAATAGCCAAATATGGCAGTCATAAAGTACATCACAAACATGGCAAAAAAAGAGATATTTGAAACCAACTGCATTTTTTTCTGTGAACGGCTGCAGAAAAAAAAAACAACACATAAAAATGGTTGGGCTGGATTTTTCAATAGCTGTTTAAAAATGTATTAAGTCTTTGCATAAACATTGTAATTCTGGGGAGACTCATGAATGCATTTTCATTTAAAATTGACAGCTGCACAGGGAAGAGAAGGACTGGGGAAAGGCACTCTACACAGGGCTTAAGTCAAGAAATGGTGGGTCTGCCCTGCAGCTCTGCTACCCGGTTATACTTGCCTAAATAGAGTGAAGGGTGAAGTCAAGTGGAGAGTGACAGCCCTTAAATACTTCAGTAATTAAATTAAAAGGGAAAAATAAAGGAAGAGTAAAATTATACACAGGAAAAAAACATTCTGAATGTTTGCAAGACATTTGTGTCCCCACGGGTAGAAAATAATGAATGTATGCAGGCCACTGTAGACCTGTAAAATAGGTTGTGTCAACGTTTCATTTTTAGATATTTGTTCTGAAGTGTTCACACTTCAGTACCTGAACTTGGACTTTTAAACCCACACAGGGATGCCCTAAATAGGCACCCGGGAACCTGCTGGTGTCCCGTGAAACTCAAAGCACCCAGCAAGTGGCTGGGACCTGAGGGCACCCATGGGTCTGACTGACGACAACGTCTTCCCTGGGGCCCCCTCCATGGCCCAGGACCCCGTTGCAGCCCCTGGGGCCGTCAGCAATGTCGCAGCAGGGCTGGTCTCCAGGTCCCCACAGCCCTGCCCAGCTGGAAGTGTCAGAGAGACAACTGTACTGGCAAAGATCTTTTAGTACAGGCAAGCCTGAAAATACTTTTTTTTCCTGGTACTGCAACAGATTTTTAGTTGCACTGGAACAAACACTGTTAGCTGAACACACGCCGCTCTCCTGTGCCAAATAACAACCGGCACAACTTGGCTCTCCCCAGGCTGCTGTGCACTTCCAGAGAAAACTCCCAAAGTATTGCATTATCCTCAACCTCCCTCACCCCGGCCCCAGCAGCACGCCTGGGAGGCCAGATTTCCCAGCTGACAGCCACGCTCATTGGCTTGTGGGTGTTATTAAAGCACAACTCTAAATGGCACGAATGACTCAGAGCACCTCTGCGCTGACACTTTCCATGCAAAGTGGTTCAAAACAATTAACTAGAAAAAAAATAAAAGAGAAAGGCTTACTCTTTAAGTTCGCTGTAAATCGGGAGGACTGACGGGTGGCAAACAAATGCAAAAGCAATGGTGGGCAAAGCATACACAGTCTGTTTGGAAAGAATTTCAGAAAATAAGTTAAGAAGAAGTATTTCCCCCAGCAATGCGAATAAATGATCCGTGTTCAACTACCTCAGATCCTGACTCTCTGGACTCTTCAACCAAATGTTGAGAGCCTTCAGAGAAAACAGAAGACCTGTCAATCAATGCGTATTTAATGAAATATGGAGAGCAGCACTCTTTTAATGGGAGGACAAAGCCTTCATGTTGGTCACGCAACCACAGTCCTGACTCTGCTCACAGAGTGCAGTCCTGGATGCCACAAGGCTGCTGGTTTTGCTCCCTGGGATGGGTTTCCCTGCCCAGCTACTGCCACCATTACTAGCACGCTGTGACACGTAAAAGGGACATATGGTGGGTCACCGCTACGCTACCCTGCCTTGGCATGGAGAGGGGTGCGCACCCGTGGTGCTAAGGCTGAAGTCTTGAAGAGGAAGCCCATATCCAGACTGTAAGAAAAGAGAAGAGGAATGCAGAACTTACAAATAAATGGATATTTCAAGGTACCAGACTGAGTCCCTTCCTTTCCCAGGCCAACAAAAGGGCTAGGAGGGCTGTGGAGAGATCATGCTTTTCCTTGGGGAGAGAGAGAGACTGTTATGTCACCAGGAAGCACAGGAGGCCTCCAGGGGGTAACCTCACCCCCTTCTCCATCAAAAACCTGAGTGGGTTTCAGTCCTCAGCGTACAGCCAAGCTTCATAAATGATCTCAGCACCTAAGCACTTCCATTCTCCCCAGGGAATGGGTATGAGCAGAGATCACACAAAAACAGGCCCTCCTGCAAGGACAAAATGAGTCCATCCCTACATGTGGCTCTCCCCGGCCCTCTGAGGTCTGTTTGCACTGGCCACAAGCATCCCCTTCCCACAGAAGCCATCCTGAGGTATGCCCAGGCCCGACAGATTCAGTAAATACACTGGCTGCTTTCCAGTGGCCCTTCCTCACCCGCATCTGTGCTGTCTCCTCTCCCCCACCCACGGCATGCTACTGTTGTGGAATCTCTGAAGTTGCCTGGACATGGTGCTGGGCAGTTGGCTGTAGGTGGCCCAGCTTGAGCAGATGCAGATGACCTCCAGAGGTCCCTGCCAACCTCAGCCATCCTCTGTGGAACTGTCTGTCCTCTCACACACCAAAGTCACTAAATTGATTGTCTAACTAATGGCCTCAAGTGTGAATCTCTAGAGTTCAGCTCCAGTGTGCTTCATTCATATAGACTGATCCTTCTGATGTGCCTCCATTGACTCTGAGGCAAATGCTGACCTTTTCTGTAGGAGAAGACTGCCCTTCAATGCTATCTAAAATATACCGACACCTAAGGTGCTGTCGCACACCAAGTTAACTAATTCTTAGTCCGTCACACCAGATCTGGGCTGATGCCTACCCCCAGCTAAAGTGCTCGAACTGGCTTCTTCGGTAGGACAAATTTTTAAAAATTTAATTTTTTCACACATATGCTATACGTGTGCATTCCCTATGACTGTGACTGAGACACCCCAAGGACCCTGCCCTGCTGGGTAAGGTGCTGTTTAACAAGCACTCGCCCCAGCACAGCTGACAGGAGCAGCCAGTTGCTGTTTTGCATTCTCTTGGCACAACTTTTCCTGCAGCTGTGTGGCGATGGAGGAAAGCATCCAGCTGAAAGGCAATTAAATTTTTGCTGGATTAGCTTTCAACTGTATCCTTTTCCCGATCCAGTTCACCATATGGCTACAGAAACATGTACCCTCTCACAAAGAAGTGGTTTGTGTGCAGGACAGAGGGATTACTTCTGGACTTTGGATGCAGGAATGGCTGACTCAGCCTCTGCTGAACTACAGCCTAAAGGCACAGTTGGAGCACGGATAGTAAGAAGCAGTGGAAAGGAAAACTCTCCCAAAGAAAGCATTTGTTGTCCGGTGGTAGCTCAAGCTCACAGCCTTAGTTCACCTACTACTGGGGCAGAGCAAGACCGCAAAGAGGTCCATTCAACACGGCATCTCCATAAGACTGGGCAAGGAGACCCATTGTGCATTCACCATTGAAGCAGGGGTGGAAGCATGGAGAATCAAGCCCTAAGTGGTACTGACTGGATTAAGAACACGGTGTGTAGGTACATATATTATGTGAATTAAAAATAAGTATTATAAGAAGAAACATACCTTGGAATTAAAGATAACATACTTTGGCTTACACATATGTTCATGTGCTGAGCTATTTGATAGGATAGATGATGTTGCATTTAGTTCCGATCCACCACAGGGAATTTGAAACTTCTTGTAAATAACCTAGAATAAGAGTGGAAGACGGCTCATTGTTAAAAATAATAATAAAAATCAAATTAAAACATCAGAGAAATTGTGAATATCCTATCAAGTAACTCTCATCCAACAAAGAAAATAAGCTGAACTTACCACTATCAGAAAAAATACCATGCAGCTTAATGAAAATCCACTGGTATAGCCAAGATACCCTGAAATAAATTAAAATGAAATCTCATACAAAATTATTTTATTAGCCGTACCTTGGTTTTTACTTCTTTTTGCTGCTTCATGAAAAGTGTAAATGTATTATACATTTAATATGTATCGTGAGCTTCTGGGCAGGACAAAAGCATGTCCTGTTGGTGTGGGAGTCTCCCATGTTGCAAGCTTCTTGGCTTTCAGACAAACCTGAGCTTTGCCCTGACTGGTTTGACCTCCCGAGAGTCACCTTTATGCCACTTTAAATAATTTTACTTTTGAAAGGGGCTGTGATCATTGAAACAAGCCTGAAAATGTGCAACTGCAATCAGAACGTGACCCAGATTCCCTGATAAGAGCCATGTCAGCTGAGTATGGGTTATTTTCTCAAAAGGAAGATCTCAACAAAACTTCAGTGACAAAACTTTTTACACAGTTTCAAAAAATACTTTGTGTACCTAATGGCATTTCTGTGAACTCAAACACATTTGAAAATGCAATCCTATATACACATCTTTCTTTAAAGTCCAATATCTCCAATTCAATTCACCACTAAAAATTCTGATGCTCATAGAAAATATATTTTTTGTAATCTCACAATTTGTGAATTTATATTTACAGGTTATATATAAAATAGAATTATCTTATGAAACGAAGATCTTCCTAACTATACTTTTAAAAATCAGTTTCCACAATTGTATGGATGAAGCAGGTTTATACTGAGTTCAACCACTGTAACAATTTAGGCCTACTTGTTCCAAAATGCTCAAAACACAGCTTATTCCTGGACCAGGGAGACTGCTTAGATTACAATGAGAGCACTTTATGTTTTTTTAATAGTCGAGTTGCCAGTCTGGCTGTCAGCAGCATGAGGTCTGTGCTCCTCTATTTTATTCCCACAATGGCATTTGCATCTTACCTAAGTTCTTAAGGAGACATAAAGGGAGGATTATACCAAACGTCACTGTGACAACAAGAATCCGCCCATCCACGTACCATGCCCTGTATAAAACATTAAAAAAAACAAACCCTCCATGAACACACCTTAAACCTTCTCTGGTTTTCTGATTTTCCTCACACTCAGTCATCCTCTTTGACTGCTGCACTTACAGAACTATCTTTGGTCTTCTTACCCTACAAGCTCCTACAAAAGGAGAGATGGGGACCACATCTGAATTTTGGAGAGTCATTAAGTATCTAGCCCTTAAAACATGGCACTGCTCTGACTCAGATGTGGTGGATTTTCATAGTCACTAGGCGAAATATGACCCTACTGCTGAGTTCAGTGAGCGGGACTGAGAGGCAAACTCCATCATCTGTAACCTGATAAAAGCCACCCTGCCAGGACAAGGAAAGATCATGCAAAAGGCCACACATACAGCACAGTGGGGCAAGGGGAGCCACCACAATTTGTTTTCTAAACCACCTGGCACATGCCTGGAGTGGCAAACCAGGCTTCTGTGGGCTGGCATGCACTAGCCAGCCCAAGGCTGTACCTCCTTCTAGCGAAGTGCTTTGAATCCTGCTGGAAAGCAAGAAAGGGGAGAAGGGATAGTGTTAGTGATGTTCTATATGACCTATTTCCACTGCTTGGTCCAATTTAGTATGAAAGCCTGAGGAAAGGGATCTCTACCTTCTTCTCATGCACTACATACAGCACACCATATAACCCAATGCAAAGGATATTTACCACTGTAAGGAAATACCACCCTGCTATTAAAGAAGCTGGTAAATGGCAAGGAGTGACAAGTGGCAGAAATTTAAGTAGAACATTCTGCTGTTGTCATATACTAGTATTGAAGAACTTTATACTATGAACAGTGCTTCAGGGGCAAAATCCTGAAAGGTGCTAAGAATGCAGAGAAATAGGTAATATCTTGCATTGTTCCCAATATCTTCAAGTATTGCCTAATACTTTGAAAGACTGGATCCTATTATAGGAGGTTTGTATAAATCACAATTCTTTGTGAAAATCTGGTGTGCAAAGAGAGTAACTACGGATGACTTAACCTTTCATTTCCTATACATCATCTTTTCCTTCCCAAAGTTGTTGTGGTTTTTATTAACCCCCTGAGATATCCCTGTGAAAATCTACTTTGACAAACCTAAAAACTATCCAATACCTAAGAGCTTTTATAAACATGCTTAAATTTATCTACATAATATTAAATTCTATAATCTCCAAATGAATTCAACTTACGAAAAAGATTCTTCTTTTCCCATTAGAAACTTTATGGCAGAAGGCAGCTCATTTTTTACTATGAAGAGATAGCTCAACATTGCTGGAGGAAGAAGAAAGTCAGTTTAGAAAATGGATAAGATATTTTGTGGAATAAGTACAGAGAAGCACCTTTTCACACATCAGCCTCTGATGATAAAAGACCTTGAACTATAATTCTAAACTACTGATAAACTACTGATCATTCAGTAATACAGCTCTTCGAAAGAGCTGCATGCGAAGTGTTAGCCACAACTATATTGAGAAACATGAAGACTGCAAAATGTCACTAAGAGGAGGAGGAACCTGATTGGTTGGTAGCTGCAACATTATTAAGATATTGTTTATAACATGGGTTTGTTTTTCAACAGCCCTCATCTCCTTTACCTCCAACGTTCTGGAGAGATGTAGATCCAAAGACAATCATTTTCCCTGGGGTACCAAAGACCTGCTCACCCAGCTTTTCATACACCATGCAGCCTGCATGAAAAGAAAGGAGGAGAAAAGTAACAAATGCGCCAGTGAAAACTGTTCAGTTGAAACACTTAGGATTCCTTTTCAGCTAACTGCCCATCTCTGCAGCCATATCTGCCCTTTGCAAGTAAAGAGAGAGCTCTCTTGGAATTACTAGAGCTGAAACTTATGTAGGAATGTTTTCTTGACGTCTATAAATGTTATCGTTGGCTACCAGTCGCTTTTGGAATTGAAGCTCTTAATGAGGCTATTACATCCCTTTAATGAGTCTGTCTACACCCCTAGTGACACGTTAAGTTCTGGTATCCAGGATGACGTAGAAAGCCTCCTCTTCAGACAAAACCCACTGCAGCAGGATCCACAAGTCAGCGCTGGCAGCCTGGCCACAGCAGACACAGTGCCACGATTCTGCGATTTCGCTTGCTTTGACTAAATGATCCAAATGATCCAAACCAGCCACTGGTTTACAGGTTGATTTACAATTTCTAATGACCGAGCCTTAACTTGTGAATTCTCAGTGTGACCTGTTTTTGATAAAAATGGGGAAGTTGTAAATTATAGCTATAACTTCTTTTTAAATATCTATTGAGTTTGAGAAACTCTTCTGTTAATTGGCTTGTGTTTCTATTAAAAGATTTTTTCCTTGGCTGTGATTTAGGCTGAGAAAAAGACTGGACATTGTGAAGATAGTGAGATACATGAAAAAAAGAAATATTGCAGATGTTACAGGGTACAGATGATTTTTAAAATCAATCCCATTGTTTGGTTTTCTCTATATTTCCTTATAGCTGACATTTCTGCTTTGAAGCTTGTATAAACAATAAGTTTGAGCTTGAATGTACCAGCAGCATAGAAACCAGGGCTTAGATTCTGGGAACTAACAGGGCACAAATATGTCCACAATTGGGCATACATACCTAATTTAAACAGGCAGTTGTTGCCATTATACATGCTATAACATGTGTGTCCAAATCATATATTAAAATATTATGGTGTTCTTGCACACAGGTAATTTTAAAAATCTGGCTTCAGAGATTGTTACCTAAGGAAAGAGACCTTGGACTTCAGACCACAATGACATTTAATACTGTAGGTAACTTCTGTGTTTAGAATATATTTTGCTTACAGATACACTTCTCTCTGTGAAGGAACTGTTCCCTTTTATTTTATTCTAGGAAACCTCCTAAAACACCACAAAGGCTATCAGGAATTTCACACTAACCACTAAAGACAAACTATATTTCCAGGTAAGCTTCACCACAGGCAAAGATTCATTATATTTCATTTGCAATTGGTTTTGAAATGCAAAGAATCTATATGAGCTGTTCCTTCTAGCTCACTGAAACAACATTTAATGGCAGCAGAATTCAGCTTTTGTTTTAAGTTCTTCTCTATAGTGATGATCAGGTGCTTTTCTCCATTGCCATGACATAAATTCTTGTTAATTCTGGGCTTCTAACTCAAAATATGTTAGACCTTTCTATTGTGTCAGCAAAGTGATAGAAACCCCATCTTACACAAAGCACTTGGCCTTCTTTGAGCACTTTTCACCTTTTGCTCTTTACATTTCTACCGAAATGGTATAACAATATCTTAAATTACCTGTTTCCTTTGAACACACCAACAGGAGATATATTGAATAAATAGACAGCAGCGTCACTGAAACCAAAAGCAGCCTATAAAAGAATGGAAGATAAAGCTTACTGTAAAAGCTGAGCTCTAACATTGCAATATTCAGGGCATAATTCCAACGGTAGGACAAGGGGAAATGGGTGCAAGCTGGAGCATAGGAGGTTCCATGTAAACATACAGAAAAACTTTTTCACTGTGAGAGTGGCAGACCACTGGAATAAGCTGCCCAGAGAGGTTGTGGAGTTTCCTTCTCTGGAGACATTCAAAACCCACCTGAACATGTTACTGAGTGACCTACTGTAGGTGATCCTGCTCTGGCAGTGGGGTTTGACTAGATGATCTTTCGAGGTCCCTTCCAATCCCTGACATTCTGTGATTCTGTGATATTCCTGTTGACTCTGAGATAATTTTTATACTCTTCTTACAATGCAAACTTCCCTAAAAATATATGCAATTTTCACATGCTTTTTGCTGTTCCACCACACCACCGTGGAGGTAGAAAACCCTGCATGCAGAGGGATTCAATCAAGTAAAACTTGGCAGAGCTGCATAGCGCAGCCTGTTAGTGAGTTACACCTCCTCATATTGAAAGAAGTAAGAATAAAGATGTCTTTTCAGATAGGAATTAAGATTTCATCAGAACAGGGATGAGCCAGATATGTGCCTTCAGCCACTCTCAAGCTTTTTTTCTGGAAGCAGAGTAAAAATTTCAAAGGCAAGTCCTCTATTTAAAGACTTCCATACCAAATGGAAGCATCTTTTCCCAGGACATGTTTCATATGCTACCAAAGGAGTGCCCAAATGGCTTTTTATGTGCCTTCCAGTGCCCAAGGAGGTGGGAGAGGAGGGAAGTTAAGGCTTGACTGGCTTCCCTTGGGAATAAAGGCAGAAATTAAGGGCTTATACTTTGTCCAGGCTGTGACTGGTGTTCCCTCACTGGTGTCACTCCTGGTCTGCTGTGATCCATAATTTGACTTCACGTAGAAGAATTGCAGGAAGTAATGACCTGTAGGGAACTTGCTGGCACAAATTATTATTATTAGTCAGTGCCGGGGGCTAAGTGCATAAAAACACATTTGCTCATTGCTCTATGTCTTTAAGCCAAGCACCATGTGTGCCTTCCCCTCCAACACTCTGACACACAAAGACGTGATGATGTTTTCATGATGTGTGTGAAGAGCACTCAGACAATCTGTTGGCAATTCCTCTTTTTATTATGACAACTACCCTCAGGACACCAAGAAAAACAAGCCTAAAATTTACCAGAAAACAAGCTGCCGCCATAGACAGGCGGTAACACATCTTTTTCATAGGAATACATAGAAAGAACAGGAAGAGAAGCCTTCTACTCCCACTTTTTTATTATTTTATTCTAGAAATACTTCAGTGCCAAATAATGACCCACAAGTTTCTTAGGGTCAGAAGATCAGGGAGAAACATAAAGAGTGTACAGCCCAAAGGGTGTTGCTCCTCAGGGAGGTGGAGAAGAGAAGGGATATTGTACTGGCTGAGGTCACTCAGCTCTGTTTTTTACAGATGTGCTAAGCCCTGCTCCTGCCCATGGTCCCTGCAGCGCTGCTACGCCCCTCTGCCTGGAGGTATGGTGACAGCCCCAGTGCTCCGTACTCACAGCCGCAGTGCTCGGCTGCTGGGCTGACTCACTCCCAGCCTCGAATGGCTCCAGCTCTGCATGCCAGCATCAAGTCTATTTTAATATTAAAAGCTCCCGTTTTGCAGGCACTGAGCTCATGGAGCCTTTGCAGCGGTAAAAATAACACTCCCAAGCAGCCAGGTATTTATCTGATCTGTTGTCCTTAGCTCCCCATAGGGTTCTTACAGAGACACTTGGTATTTTCATTAGCGCTGTATGAAAAACTTGTTTGTGTTAGGACTGTGGTATGGACAAGGACACTCATGCCAGAACCACCCCTTGGAAAGGAATGAAAATGTCCATGCCACTTGATCTGCACAAATTCAAAACAGAAGCAGGGGAGCTTGCACTGCAGTCCCAAAAGCACTCCCCTACTTTTTATTTTGCCTACTTTTAAAGAAGTGCTGGTAGCTATGCACATGCAAAAGTCACTTCCCTCCAGAAATCTAGAATGAACAGTTTAGGGCAGGGAAGATGCAGTGCTGGGAAGAATGAACTGTTCCTCCAATGCCACTGCTCTTTGCTTCCAGCTACTACATTACCAAGTTGGCTGAAACACATGTTGTCCCCAGCCCTCTGTGGTGTCCCAGGCTTTGGGGCCAGAAGACCTGTGAGGCTCATGCAGTCACCTGCCTTATGCTGCTGCACAGACCAGCTCTGAACCCCCATAAGGTATCAGGTGCAGAAGAGCATGGCAGGGCATGGGGTTTGCCACTGTACAGCCTCCTAAGGGGCTGGTCTGTCAGCCCGCCCTAAACCTCTGGAGGAGTTAGGCTGAAGCTTTGTGACTGCTTGGAGCCAACCCTAGCAGATGTGGCTGCAGAAAGCAGTGTGAAACTTCAGTTGTAGTCTTATTCTATAACTCATCTAACAAGCCCCTGTGCCTCAGCAGGGCTTTTCAGATCACGTGCCGTGCCACGCTAAATGCAGGCTGAAGGCACCTTGCATTTGGCCAGCTCGTATGTCTCTGCAACATGATTCACCACTCTGGTCCTGGTTCTCCACGATGAGACCACAGGCAGCAACGAGTGCTCCTGCCATCCCTAAGTGTCCTGGCCCATCTCTAACTTCCCAAGAATTTTGTGTCATCTTTCTACAGCGAGGTTTTCTCCCCTTTTGCATATGCCAAATGATGATCTAGGCTGTAATTATCAACAATACTGGGATTAAGATCCTCTGAGTTCCCACCTCAGTCGTTTTGCTTAGAAAGCATGGCACTTGGCTATGGCACAAAGTTACGCAAATAGGATGTGAGAGTATATTCTCATTGCTGTGCTTGTTTTACTTGTCTTATGCCAAGAATATAGGATCTGAACTGAACCAGGTGTGCATGGCAGTGCACACTTCACATGGCAGGAGTGTAAAAGCTGTGAGAGTGGAAATCAGGCTGAGTCTGCTTTGTTAGAACTGAAAACGCTCCTTTAACTTTTCCACCTCTGCCTTCTACTTTTCAGAGATGGTGCATGCCAATACTGCATAAAGCAACCTAGAAACTTTCCAGAACTGTGCTGCTTACTCAAGAGCAATGAATGTAAGTGCTTCCTCACGTGCAAAAAGCAATGAAACTACTGCTGGGACTCTATCTTTAATCACTTGTAAAGCAGAAATGGCTCTAAGATCTGCCTCTGATAGTGACAGCAGAACTATAAATTTATGGGAAAAATGCACTGGATGAGAGTGTGAGAAAAAATATTAAACTAATGGACTAGGTTTAACTCTGAGATTATTGCATGATAAAAGAACATTTAAAACAGTTCAACTTTCAGGCATAACTACAGACACCACATTAGGATCCTGTATCTCCAGGCTCCAAAGGGGAAAGCTCTGCTAGCCTGGTCAGTTAGGTCCTACTAGCTTCCTTACTTTTGATCTCAGTGGGCTGGTCTATCTCCAAGCCAACAGATCTAAAGGCATTATAAAGCTAACAAAAACAATTATCCACTTTTAAATCCACACAGTTAATTCTGTAGAGAATAATCCTGATATTTACTGTATAAAATCTCTACATTCAGGTTTGACAGTTTTTCATGCAATGGTGGTACAGATCTACTACTTGGGCCAAGACAAGCATTGTTAGAAGTTTCTGTGGTGTTCACATCACTGATCTGATTTACTTCACTCAAAAGGAACTGCCTTTTTACATGTTTTAGAGCAAAAACATTTCACACATCACTTAACTCTCATGAAAAACTGCTAAAAGAATAAGAAGAAAAGGTTATAGAAAAATAAAGCAGTAAGGAGAAACTGAGAGTGCTCCTTGGTTGAAACACTTTTATCACAGAAGAAGTAACATGGCTGGAGAGAGATAACTTTTTTTTCTCATTACAGCAATTTTCACAACCACCAGTCTGTACCCTCAGAGGGGTGCTTGTTAGAGCACAATTGGAATATCACACACAGGTTAGAGTACTGGGTAAAAAAAGCAGAAAAAATAAAATAAACTCAGTCTCTCTGCATAAGAAAGATCTAAATTAGGGTCCAGCTACTTTATAGCCTAGCTTAGTGAGAACACAATTATGAGACTTCGTACATTCTTAATGTAAATGGATTAACTCCTTGGATTATTCCCAGATTTTACCCAACCACAGCAGATTGTAAAATAGCTGCATGGATGTAGCTATCCTGGCACGAAAACCCAGAACAAATGGCTATACGTACCACTTTGGCCTTTCCCTTTGCAGGGCTCATATTATATATTTATCAAAAACCTAAAAATAACAAAAGTTCTACATTTTTAGATTTGGCATTCAAGAAATGAATTACCTCTTTAGGGTAATTTGTAAACTTAATAACTGTGTTGAACAGTTCTCAAAGACTGTAAATTATTGTATTTCTTCCCTCAATGAATATTTATCACTGGAATCTGCACACAATTCCCAAATGATTTCTTAACAATCACTTTTCACAATGAAATGTCTCATACTGCAATCCAGAATAACACTGTGTCTTACTCATTCACTGGCACTGTTTCATTTTGAAAATTTTCCTTTACAAAATGCCTCTTTTTTGCTGTAGTTAAGTACTCTACCTCAACTCTTTTTTATACTAAAATCTTGGCTATATTTATGTTGGCTCTCAAGGACTGTGGGAGTGAGATGAAAACACTATACGTAACATATAAAGGAATATAAATATTCTTTTTCTTGTAAAAAAAAAAAAAGTAGCTATCACATCATGCTTTGATGGAAGCCCTGGAGATCCTGTCATACATGTAAGAACTAGGTACTATCCCACTGCAACTATTACTACTGAGTATTTCCGATGTATGTGTAGCTAGCAGACTATAGGAAAAATCCCTGGCGAGGCTCAGATCAGTAGTTAATAACATGGACTTAATTTGCTTTAGCATTACAAGTAGTGGCTTTTCCTCCAAAAATATTTGACTGAAAAATAATGTCTGACACTTGTAGCTAACATTTTCAGCCTTGAATGCCGTACTTTATTTCACATGGATTATAAATGCCTCTGCTTGCTGGCAGTGTACATGTTCTTTAAACAGAGGGAAACTGTATGAGGATCAGACACTCACCACATGAATACTTACAGAAAAAGGAGAATTCCTGTGTTGGCCAAAGCAAAAGCGAGACCCAAAATCCCACTGCCCATAATTGCATTGCTGAGGTTGAAGACGGACATCCCCAGCGAAGTAGTTCCTGGGATCTGGAGAAGTAAAGACAGATGTGTTTGGGACAGAGCAGGGAAATGTATCTATGCTTCAAACTCCGTATTTCGCGATATATCAGATATAAGTAACGACTGCTATGGAAGTGACTTAATAAAAGCTGCAAGGTTTGAAAGAGGAAAAAGCATCACCGAACCCTGTCACAGCTGCACTCTGATTGCTGCCCTACAGATTTTGTAAACTGGCAAAAATGGTACAGGGAATACACAACTCATACTACAATTTCAATTTAAAACCCCATCTTTCACTACACCTGTTAGACACGTTAGGCAAATGATTTATATATTGTAAGGCCATAAGGACCCATCAGGACTTCCTGCCTAACATAGGCCAGAGGGATTCTCTTGCCTCAACTCCACAAGAATGCTTATTTTTTTTTCTTTTGTTTTTGTTTTTTTAAAGTGCTGAGCAAAAGCAGTTCCTACTGGAACCTGAATTTCAGTTTTAATTGTGTGTGCCCAGCACTTTTGAAGACCATGTCTAAAGGACCATCATATGCACCACATATAGTTCATTTTGACAGGGAAAAGAACAAGAGCGACTTACATATTCATCACATTTCTTCTTCTCCAGGTGGCTGTTTGTGAGACTTCTTCTGCTTTCTCGATCCGAAATAAATTTGCTGAAAAAAGTCAGAGGATTTATTTCCAGCAAGAGTGTTTAGGAAATGTGAACATGTTAATTCCATGAGCAGCATGTGAATAAAAAATATGCTATGTATAAAAACTGTATGTGAAAAGAGCTTAAACTCATAACGATTTAATGAACCAGATTACGCTTCACTGATACCAGCATGCGCTGGGCATCGATAAAGGTAACACTAGCACAAGATCAGAATAAATGTACATATACAGAATGGTCTTTTAGGAGATTTAGTAAAACAACAGCACTGATTTTGTAGATGGAAAAGTAATTTTTCTGCACAGACACTAAGAGGAGATACTTCTCCAGGTGTCCTGCAGAGGTGCGTGAGACTGGCACCCCTGGCTCCCAACCCCTGTTCATGTAGTTAGCACAACTAACGGCAAGTAGCCATTCTCTGTGACTGAGTGGGTCACGTATTCATTTCCTTTCCCTCATTATCAGGCCCTGAAGGTCCTGTGAACCACGTAGCCAAACCAAACCGATTTCTTCTTCCTCTCTGTATCGGCCTCAAGACTCTTGAGCATCAGACCGATTACTCCTCTCCTTACCAGCCTTGAAGGTCCCAAGCACTGATCCCACCACATGATGGTGATGACTCCCAAGCAGAAGAGGGAAGTCTAACAGCACCTAGAGTACTGTCCATAAAATCAAGCCATTACAAGTCCTAAGTGAGGACTTGGAGTGGAGCTGCAGCTGGACACTGAGACCTGGGACCCCCAGGTGGTCAGGGACACCCCCACCATCCTCTGCTTCCTCCGAGGACTGAGGGAGCAACTCGTATTCCTTTATATGATTTTCAAATCTTGATTATGATAGTTATATTGATACAGCAATAAGATTTTACCTGAACTGCAGAGGGTCCAGGTGATTAGAAATTTTAAGTTAAGTTGTATTATAAATTCTGTATTATGCTATTTACAGATTGTAGTACATTGATTCTGCTTGTAGAAATCCTGTGCCATTCTACTCATAAGTTCTGTGCTATACTAACATCCTGTTAAGAAAATAAAGCTTTAATTCTAACTGCGATCTAGCGCGTCATCATTCTGCCAAGGATCCCTATAAGACCCTGTCTGTCCTCTTAGTGTTGGGTGACAGCGTGGCACCCTACAAAACCCTAAATTGCCACCATAGGGTTAGTAAGGCTGGAGTTAAGAGGAGGAAGAGGTGCTGCACACAGTCAGCATTGCCCAGACTATCCCGAACAAGGCAACATGCTTTAGTGGTGCACTGTCCGAGGCTACCAGATTTTCATTTCAGTGTCTTTCAAAACTCAATACTGAATTCATCATACTGCAAAATTAAACATTTCTGCTCAGGGAAACATGGAATAAACACTTTTTCTTTCTCTGCACTCTTTACTTGTGTGTCCTTAGTATATCCACATTTAGGAACTTACAGGCACCAGAACAAGATTTGCCTTCTGCCACTGTGTCAGTATCCTTGGGATTTACGACACTTCTGATTTGGATGAGCTGCAACTTTCTCCCAGATCCTCTCTTCATCAAACATTTTAGTTTGTATAAAGCATTCTTTCAGCTTTTCATCTTTTGAAGGTTTATGCACAATTAAGTTCCTGGTATCTTCGTTAATCCCCAGATGGTTCTTAGGCTGCACTGGCTAATGTAACAGCCATCGTACGTGTTACAAACCTAAGCAGGGGCTGTCACCAAGTGTCAGAGGCCCTTTCAGCTGTAGATAAATTAAGGTGGCTCTTCTTAAATTAAACCTGACAAACAATATGCTGAACACAAAGAACATCCCTACTCGTCCTTTCCCACAGCTGGGAACATCTACTGGCCAGGGATATATAGTTCAAACTGTGACTCAAGACTGTGCATCATTTGAGTACATCCAAAGGTATTCAGGCTGGTAATATAACTGTGAGCTCATAAAGACAGAGCTCTATCAAACTTCCCCGCTACCCCGGTTGTGGCCTAATTACTAGCAATACATGCCAACACAGCTTCTAATTGTATGCCAAAGTCATGTAGTTGTAATCCTGCCGACTTGGCTTCCACAGCTGACACCCTGGGCCCTGTGTCTTTAACATCTTGTGTACTACATACACATTTTGAGTTTATCCCTTAAATCTGGACATAGCTGGCAAATGCACACAGTATTTTTACTGGTTTTGTTGCAACTTTGACCCCTGCCCATTGGTCTGTTTTGATTTCATTTATATCAATAAAAACAGCTAGAGGCTGCTTCTGTAATTTTTTAAAATACAAACTTCAGCAACTAATTTGCTGCAAAATATAGACACCGTGCCAGGTTTACCAACCCTAACACAGTTGGAATTGATGGTTGAACATCCCCCACTGTATTAAGAAATGAAAAGCAACCACTTCGAAGTTAGCCTGATCCAAAATTAACTTTCCAAAGCTAACTGTGTAGGTATTTCAAACTCATGGAATAAAATCTCAACCTGGTCTTCTATAAATTCTGAGCATGTGCTTTTTTTTTTTTTCATGTCTGTTTAAAGCCCATCTCTTGAACACAGGCATCAGAGTGTGAATGGTTTGAAAAAGACATTCCAGCCCTCTCTTGAAACACCCCGCAGGCAATTTGTACAAGCAGTAGTACAGAGAAGAGTTTTGTCTCTTTTGGATTTGTAAGCGCTGCTGGGAACATCTGTGGACTTTGCCTTCTTCTGTCATTTATGGAGATCATGTGTCATTTTAGATTTTGTCAGAGTTATGATAACTAGCCACTAGTCTGCTCCCCCCGCTTCTCCTCATCCCTCTACAGTCAGTCCCTGCTTAATAATTACAAAAATTTAAAAAATGTAGATACAATTATTTTTGCAACCTGGTATAAAAGTTCACTGAAAATTATTGTTAAAGAATGAATCCATGATAAAGACAAGACTTGAGCAATATTGCTTGAATATAAAGCAACTGTGGGACTTTCCATGAGAATATTTTTGACAGAGTAAACAACTTCTGTAGAACTGGTATCTTCTGTGGCCAACAAACACATTATTTCCTTCTGGATGGGACTTCAAGAATATGAGTCTGATTTGATAAATTGATCCAAAGTACTTCATTTTGAGTTAATCCTACATTAAAATGGATTGGGCTTGTTGTCCAGCCTCTCATCTCCTATTACAAGCTGAGCTCCTCATCTACCCCATGTTTACCACGCCATACTGCACATTTTTTTCTGTTTATACTGTGTGATGCGTACAGGAGGGCAAAGTCAGACATGGGAATGTGGCTACCAGGCTCCAAAATCACAAGGTACCTAGCATTGCACCCTGCTTTGTTACGGAGTGCTTCCCAGCACCTGCCTCCCAGCCCCAGGACGGCTTGCCCTGTCAGCTCAGCAGTGATGCAGTGGTGGGGGCTGTGGGGTCTGTCTGATCCAGGCTGTGATGCATTTACTATTGCAGGCAACTTAATCTGCAAGTCCAGACAAGATGGTTGCCTCAGGACCACGCTTGGTAGGTGCTGCAAATGTACTGTGTGACAGCCTAAGTTCTTCATAAATGGAATCTATTACCAAACCTAAATTGGAAAAAAAAAAAAAAAAAAAAAAAGTAGGGGGAAGGTAATCCAATGGATTTAATACAAAAAAGATTTTGCTTTTTACAAACTTTTTTTCCATTTCAGGGTGTTTTTTTCCCCTACAGCATATGAAAGGGAATGTATGTTGGAATACTGGAATTTCTAGTTAAACCGTGACATGCATCTGCTCTGCTTAATAGATGTCCTTAGAAAATGAGCTATTAGTTGTCACAGAATGCTGTGTATTTGACATTTATAAATATGACATGAATAAAGTGAAATGACTGTTTAATCCAGCCTCTCCCAGACCTCCAGAGGACTACAGGCCACTGTGACAGGTGCTGTGGAAATGCACAGTAGGACTGTCTGTGCCCTCAAAGCCTTGTGACTCTCTGACAAGCATGAAATCCGTTTGCGCCCTTTGTTGTCTTCATTTCAAACACTTTACTCATCATTAAAAGACATAAAAGACATGTTTTTGCTTTCCAATTGTGCTTCCTACATCACAGCCGTGTATGAGAAGCTTACACAAAACTTTTCAGATGTGTTAACAAAATATCCTGGCCAAAAAATAATCACCTGGTCCTTGTAATGCATGAAGCCTCATGACTGGCTTGGAAATAATTTCTTCACCTAATTGTTTTCCTGGTTTGATTTAGTGCAAAGTAGAAATTTAGTCTTATTGATAAAGTGGTTTAAAAGGACCATGTTTAACTATGGTTTCCAAATCTAATTTATTAAAGGACTTAAATGAGAAATGTTTGATTAAGTTGATATCCCCGTGCTAACCATTTTGGCTAAGCAGATTTAGCTAAAAACCATTTAGTTGTCTCAGAGATAAACATAATTAAATTAAAGTGATATTTCACAATGCCTTAAACACTTGCTAGGGAAAGCTAGTTTGCTGAGATGATGGAACTTTATCCTTAGGCAGCCTCTTAAACTGAGCTCTAGCTTCAGCAACAGCAAAGATTTCCAGCGTGAGCAGGAATAAGAAACGCAGAAGAAAACTTGGTTTGGCTTATACTATGAAACTTGAACCAGATCTGAGTATACCTACTAACAACCTTGTTAACTGAACAAGGAATGCTGATAACTTACTAGTAGCTCTAAACCAAGACAGACATTCAGCCAGGAGCTTCCTGAGAGCATCATGATAGTTACAGATAATGAGTAGGTCATCTAAATACTGCTTTACAGTTTTGTCCAGAGATGGTAAAGTTTTATAGCCAGGATACACAGCTAAAAGACACCAAAGCCATGTCTGGATTTGATGCAAGTCTCTTTATTGACATTCCCAGAAGAAATTCAACATCTATGTACAAAGAAAAACCCCTCCCAATACAGCCTCTTCCAAACAATTCAACTGCATATATAAATGCATATTTAGGCCCTGAAAAGGCTGGAAATCCAAAGAAAACTAGAGAATTCTTTTCCAAGATCAAGAAATATTTGGGGTTTAAAAAACCAGACCTGGAATCAGCTTCTCCCTGGTGTACCTTCCCCCAAAGATCCTTAAAAACTCTGCCCTACACTGAGCTTGAAAAACTATGCACTGGGAGAAAAAAAAGGTTTAAAGTGAAAAAAGGTTTAAAGCATGCAAAATCAACAGGTTGAAAAAACAAAAATTAGTTAGTTGAAAATTACAGATCTAATCTAAAGCTCAAGTGAAATCAACAGAAAAAGTCCCAGTGATTTTGATGGACTTTGGAGTTTCATGAGGCCTCGCACCTCATGCCAGGCAGCACAACATGATTTTTTCCATACATCCATTAGCCTCTTATTCCACAGAGATGAGGCATTTGTGAAAAGAGCCATAGAAAAGGGAAGAACTGCATCCTTTCAGGACACATTTACTGCGGGGTACAGAGCAGGGTCTGTGTGCCAGCTCATCACCATACTGGTGTGGAGTCGCTTGCATGGGGCAGTGGCCATGAGAGGCTCAGGCAGAGCCGCAGGGGACACTGATGAGGCTGCGCCAGTGCACACATGCTGCTGTGCTGGATGCCACAGTCAGCACGAGCTGTCATGAGACTCCTGTTTTAGACATGGAGGGGACCATGAACACACCAGGATATATAGGGAAAAATACATGGGTATGAGATGCAGGAGTAAGTAGCTATCCAACGGGCACCCCAGCAGAGGGATAACAGACAACCATAACAGGCTACAGCCCACAAACAAATGATGCTCCGCAGAGGAAAAAAGTTATCCAGAAGGGAAAGGAAAATTGTGGGATATGTTCATGTGCCCTAAGCATCAGAACAGTAATCAGAAATTCTGTCTCTGGTTTTCTGATGCTCTTTCCTCCCCTAACTTTTCTTCTTCCCTTTGCAGGCAGTCTGGATCAGACCCAGACCTTGCCATGCATACTACACCCTAACTCCACAAAGCACATTGTGACTACTGAGGATCAGGCACATACAGCACACTCCTTCCATGCCCTCCATAAACATTCACCGAAAGACAAAGCACTAACAGGGTTTTTCCCCATAACAGTTACTGGTGGCACCAGCCAAAACGCTGGGGAGGTGCAGCCAGCCCAGTCCAGCCACTCCTTCTCCTCTCAAGGGTATAAATCCTCAGCAGGCTCCCTGGAGCGCATTTACCCCTGTCAGCCCCTGAGCTCCTTGCCTTACGAAGTGAGCCAGCAGGAAGGCAAGCAGGCTCATACTAGAACTGTTTTGTTTTGGCTAAGTTGGAGGGGTTTTTTTTCTTGCTTTTTTTTTTTTTTTTTTTTTAATAGAAGTGGTTTGTGTTTCAGTTTGGCACTTTCCATCAAAGCAGTTGCATCAGAAAATTCCTGACCAGCTCTAATCTTCACCAGTGCAGCTGCAGTGCAGTCACACAGCGCAGCTGATGGCTGCCCCAGGACTGCCCCAGGGTGGGTGACCAGGGAAAGGGGGAGAAGGCTGGCACTCTCCTTCTGGGAGGACTGGCCCACGCTACCAGCCAGGGCCCCCTGCTCAGTCCAGGGTACAGCCGGCTCATATTGCTACGTGCATGCCATGGCTAGCATCGGGTGCTTATTCCCATGCCTGTCACCAAGTTCTCCATCCACCTACACAGCCATGAGAGCCACAGAACTCTACCCTCACTTGAGAAAAAACAACTCCTGATTTTGTTTTGACATTATAAAGTGTGTTTCTCTAGGTAGCCAGAGATGCTCCTGCCAAAAGAAAGAAAGGGCAAGAGAAGAGGTTTTTAAAGACCATAAATACAGGCTGTGGCAGCCCAGCAGTAAAGGAGCAGGATGATCTGCTGGCAGAAACTTCCCAGCAGCACCAGTGCCGGGCAGGGCTGGATCCCCACGCGGGAACAGGCCAGCTGGCATGCTCCACCTTGGTCTGCAATATTTGAACAGGAAGTTTGATCAAAAACCAGCTTCTTGTTCTACAGCTCACAAAATGCAATCAGGGTCTGTGAGCAGGTCTTTGCTCAGCTCAGCACCTGTTGGAGGCTGGTAGGAAGGCCTGAAGAACCGCTCTCACGTGGAACATGCTGCTCTCTGAAATGACTGTACAGCTGATAGGAAAAGCCTACAGCCCAATTTAAACAAACATAATGATTTTCACTAATACGGATAAACAGATGCATTTTTTAAATTCTACATGAGTTAAGTATGTCTCTCTTTTACTGGCTTCTTGCCATCCCTGCCTCATGGAGTGACAGCCACTGCCCACTTTACCTTGCTGAATTGTCAACATGGACCAGGACTACATTTGCTGCCAAAAATACCAACTGTAAATCCCCAGGAGCTTGGGTGCATGGAGGTGGCCAGGCAGGTTAAGATTATCATATCAGAGATCAAAGGTCAACAAAGCAATTTGCCCCAAATTACGCCATTGGTCTAACTGTATTAATTATTATTACTTCTTTACGGTGTGCAAGCAGACATTTCAAAATGTTGACTTTTTTGCTACATTTTATGTTTGTGCATTTTATTAGACTAATCTGAAAGATTCAAGATGATGAATAAATTGCCACTGTTTGCTTTATCTGCTGTTGCAGCCTATGCCCAACAGATGTCACATATGAAATTCAAATTACATCTTCAAATGGAGCATGACTTGGTAATGAATAATTCAAGACATATACTGAAAATTAGAATGCTGTTTTTAAACAGTGTTTCTTAGCACAGGCAGTGTCAGTGGAAAAATACTCACCTATTTATCTGGCCATTTTCCACTTCTGTGAAATCATTTGAATCATTGCTGATGTTATCATCTTCAGGGACAGTCATATTCTGCAATTCTGTCAGTTCTAATCCAGCTTTGAAAGGCATTCTGGGTGAGGAACTGTATTTATCCAAGTGTTTCTCCAAATATTAGTGTTTGGTTGGTATCTTGTAAGTAAACTGCAGTCACAGTGTCAGCAACCTAAATAAAACACAAGAAAAAAACCCAAGATGTATACCCCCAACAGCAGGTAGTATCACCAGAAGAAACCAGTGAAACCTGGAAAAGAGGAACCGTCCTTACCAACCAATTTTGTATCGTAAGAAGGACCTCAGGTTATAAACTAAATGCATTGCAGAACAGTAGTAACCTGGCACACCTTAATTAGATCAACTTCACTAACCTTACAAATTTACCCAGTCCTGCAACCAACTGCTGAAGACAGTACTTAAATTTATAATCTAGTGAGCAAATCAATCCTATTTGTTTCAGGAAAAAAAAGATTAACCACCTACAAATTAAGGAATAAGAATTATTTGCTTGTCCAAGTCTCATTTTGATATTTGGTGTTCATCTTCTGTATGTCCTCAATTCTTACCTAAAAATATAAGATATTTTGTGTCTGTGCTGTTGCTAAGTGGATGGAAGAGAGGGATAGAGTTATCCCAGTATTCTGTTCTACTAATATCTCAATTCCAGGTATTTGAATATGTTAAGGTTTTTTGGTAAAGAAGATGTGCAGAGGATGCTTTGTGTATTGTTAAACTTACTCTGAACAAGGACAGAAACAGACAAAAACAAATCCCTAAGCTCACATATCATAGGAAGAAAGAGTAACGTATATATTATGTCAAGCAGTTATTATCTAGAGATCAGGTGATCTCTCCTGTGATAGATGTGTTGCATAAAAGCACCAAGAATAACACCAAAGGCAGACCAGACAAGTCTGCTATGGTGACATATTTCCTCATCAGCAATGTAAATCAACTGAAAGACTGATATTTTCCAGAGTCCAACCACTCTCAGCTGAGCTACAACTCCAGCGTGGTGCTCAGGCAACAGGATGTTACTCACAAACAAGCTTCTGCAGCATAACTCTCTCAATTCCCATTTTGTGAATGAATTTCCTGCAGTATTGCCAAACAACAATTCACCCTGGGTTATGTAGTAAACACTCAGATGCCAGATTAATTTGGGGGTATTTTCAAATTCTCAGAGCTACCTCAAAACCATCAAACTGCTCTCATATAACCAAAGAAGCAGGAGCATCCCTGGCTCTTGCAGGGCATTACCTCGAGGTAGGAGACCATAGTTCACTTGCTCACTTGTGACATCTGCCTGTTTTAAATTAGGTTTACGGGGCCCAATACTGCCAGTTTATACCACACATCCACCATGCAGAAAAGGGCTTTGCAAATGGGCTTTTTTTTTTTTTCCTCTAAGTACTTTCTCAGAAATGTAATATTATCCTGAAGTTTACATATGCTCTTAGTATTTCCTCAAGAGCCTAAACTGTCCAAATTTCAGGTGCAAAGCTTAAAGGTGAACCTCGAGGCTTAAGTAGGGCAGGATCTGCTCTTTGCTACTGAAGGAGAGACTATGCATGTGGTTATGGTGGCAGAGCTGGCTTCTTTTCAACTCCTCTACAGAGATTTCCACTACAGATATCAAGGGAGTGACCACTTGGGTATTAAATCGTTGGCACAATTTAAAAAAAAAAAAATCATTTAGGCTGCTGATAAATAAATGCAGACTGACAAGCAGAGGGTGGTTTAGCAGTGACATTCTGAAACAGTCTTTTCAGAGGCTGCAGGGATAAAATAGTGCACCTATTCTGAAAGAGAAGCACGGTCTTTTTATAAAAGGATAAAGCCACAGGAGACAGTGAGTGCAGAGGTGGCAAGGACCAAGCCCACTGAATCCTAAAGCTTCTTGTGACCATGAGTTCCTAAAATTAATAATTCCTTAACAGATGTAACAACCTCTACATTGAGATCTGTATCCCCTAGCATTTAAAAACCCATGTAAAGATTTGTCTAAGATTCAAGCAGAGCAGCTTTCCCTTTGGACTCCATTTTGCATCATGGTTCCCCAGGAGGATTTTCAGAACTGCCTTGACATTGTCTGTGCTTAATAAATTCCCCATTAGGTGTTTCAGAAGCAGGTGCTGAAATTAGCACTCCTATGAGGTAAACAGTGTGCTGGAGAGCAGACTGCACAGCTCACTGATGTGCAGCTCCTGTTCACCGTTCTGCCCCTCAGTAGCTGAAATGCTGCAAGTCAGACTGGCAGGAAAACAGATCCCTGGTTTAATCGTGAGGAATCTTTGCAGTGCAAAAGTGACAACTTTCTTTTTTTTTTTTGTTTTAACCAAAACTCTGATTCTACAGAAAATTGATTGAATGAAGACAGAGCAAAATCTTAGTACAAGCAGTGCCAGATGAAGCACCAGCAATCATTTCAGCAAATCCCAGGTTTCAGGCGGACGAGTTGCTCCTGAAGCAGCATGACAGCAGGCACATCTTTGAATTTGTTTCAGGTTCTTACTAGGTTAAGTGATTTACTGAAAAAACAAAAAAAAAAACCCACCAAACAAACCCCTGAAACCAAAAAGATTCTTGAGTGAAATAAAGCATTGCACTTCCAAGTATGAGAAAACCTGATCTCGGTGCCAAAACTTGAGGAGGGTGAAGAGAGAGTGGTGGGGCTGGGGACTGAAACTTTCACTGTCACAGTATGAATTCATCACAAATCTTTGTCAAAGGATAACCACCTCATCCTTACACCTCTATCTATAAAACTGGGATGATAATAGTGATAATAGCACTCAGTTTGTGAAGCGCTCGCAGATTCAGAGGGAAAGGGTGATAGAAGTGTGATAACTGGAAAAAAACACTATGCAAACTACAATATTTTTGCAAAGATAACTTTACCTTAGACATATACAGAACAAATCCTTTGTCCTTGCTAATCACTCTAGATACCCTCCACAGCCAGTGGAGTACAGGTGGTCACATGAATTTCACCCCCAAATCACCCATTTTAAACTTCAAGTTCACAGATGCGACAAATCACAGAGTCTAAATAAAATCTACAATCCCAAAGGGTAGGGTTCATGTCAACCATTTATTCCTTACAAGTGAAGCGTCCGCTCCAGGCTCATCACTTGGCATCTATAGTGGAGCCTGGTGCTGCCAGAGGACAATTTGCCCCAGCCCATGGGACGGGTTTTGCAGCCGCACTGAGCTGCTCTCTGCAAATGCAATAGCTTTGCTCCCAAAGGGAGCTTCGACACTGAGATAGCTGGGCTAAGCAAATCGCCACCTCAGGTGTAGGTGCAGCTAATGCTGTGTGAAGAAAAAAAAAATTGCTTCAACTAATAAAAATTCACCATATGTTGATGCTGAGCTATACTGGATGCAGCATGGTGATATTTTTACTTTTAAGCCCTTTTCATTCAAGAAATGTAATGAAATAAATGTAAATTCTAAAAGCTATGTTGGCAAAAGTTCCTAGACTGAGCTTTATTCCTAATTCACATTGAAAGGCAGTAAATAATCATCTAAAGAGTGACTGTAGCAGCCCCAATCACTTCCCGTCACTATGGCTACTACTCTGCCCAGTCTTAAACCTCACAGAAATAAAAGTTCCAGAGACCTACCATCAAACCTGTCTCTCCAAACAGACACGTAGTAAATAATCAAGAAATAAGAATTTTGTTCTTACTTCAAACTCTTCCACTGGGATCAGCAAACACTCTTCCTTGAAGAAGGAATCACCCGTAGAGAAAACCAGGAAAGAGCTAATGACTCTTTTAAAGGAATCTCAAAGGTCTGTGTTCATAAGCTGATCCAGCCCCTCCCTTTAGCAGAAAAAGCACTGCTCTGGCCTAGGAGCTTGGCTTTCTCTTTAAACATCCCATGACATGTCTTGTAAAACCCATGAGGGATAATTTATTCATCGTGTGCTCCTTGTAGAATATGGGAAAGATTACAACTGGTCACAGACTTCAGAAGGAGGACTGTGAGATGACACAAGAAGATAAAATGAGTTTATTTTTCTCAAGGATACTGAAACCTTCACAAGCCATTAAAACACATTCCAAGAGCTGGGGTCATTTTCTCTGTTGTCTTCTGAAACATTAAAAAAAAAAAATAATCCCTGCAACTTCGGTTTTCTGGACTGCTAAAATCCCACAAGAGCAGTAATGGGCTCAAAAAGTCTGTGTTTGAAAAAATATGGTAATACAGACAATCTAACTTTATTTCTTCTTCTGGCTCAAGCATGAATACTTTCTGGGCAGTACCTGGAAGAGGTGTAATCTCAACAAACACTCTGCTAGAAGTTATGTTTTTAACAGCAACATCATCACTCCTGGTGGTAATGGTGATGGCTTAATTCATGGGCCATTGTTTTCATATCCTGTAAATGACATCATTGAAAAAGTGTCATCTTGAGACACATGGCTGCCCAAAAGCTGACACAGTAAGTGAGAGGCATTTGGGTAAGTGGTTGGGTTGGACACTGTCTTGCCTGTCTCTGGCTATGGTTTTTGTCACATGCCCTTGCACACTCACCATGCACTTCATTCACCTCACGCTTCCCACAGTCAAACGGTCTTGGGGATGGCAAATATCCAAGACATGCTAAGCAATTTTAACTATGGAATTCAAGATAATTTGCTTAAAAGCTGAAATATGACTCAACTTTCTTCTCCAAAGGGAGTTTGCCAAGAACTCCTCTTGGTCGGTTACGAATCATCAGAATCCAGAGCTTAAGTTTCACACAAGCTGTTTTTATTCCTGCAAAGCCTCAGATGTGATACGTCTTTCTTTACTCATACTTTTGAAAGTTCTTTCTAAGAAGAGCAATGTGACCAGTAAGACTCCATGGATATAAATAATGAAACACTGAGCCTGAAACTCTGTGTACGGACTATTCACTTAAATGACAAAAAGCAATAATAAAGCTTTATACTTAACAGTATCACGTTGGGAAATGGGGAAGCAACTAACTGCTTTTTGTTCAGCATTAGTGAACAAAATTAGTTAGTGGGGAAGCAACTAACTCCTTTTTGTTCAGCATTAGTGGCACTTGACATGTAGAA